TAAAATATCAAGATGAGGTAAATATGTAGATATTGAAAGTCAGATTAGTGCTTGCCTAAGGCAGGGGATGGAGAGGATCAAGGAATAACTGCCAATAGGTGTGTGACTATGTGAATATGTTGAAGAGGGGGATAAAAATGTTCTCAAATTAGATTGTGGCAATGAATGCATAATGCTGAGAATATAGGAAAAAACATTGAATTGTACACTTTGCTGCTGAATATATCTTATAGATTTTTATACGAGTAAAACATTAACATTTTAAAACAAGTTTATTTAAAACACAAGTTTTTAATATTAATACATTTTTGACAAGTGTATGTATCTTATTTACAGGGAGAAAAGTTAGGTACATTTCGTTTTCTCAAAGTTTTTGTCTCCATAAAATAATTTTAAGTGACTGAACTATTAAACTTAAAGAAGTTAGTTTTAAGCTTAACAGATTCTCTCAGCATATTTTAATAAGGAAGTAAACCCATGATAACTATATGTTAAAAATCCATCTTTATTGTATAGAAAAATTTAAAAAGCATCTGCATCTGTGCTACTTGGTATGAAACAGATTTCATTACCTATGACATTTTAATGAACAGACTTTTAAAACATTATTTTTGAAAAGAGTAATTTTTATCCTATAAGAAGCTTTATAACTTTTAGTTTCAAGGTTAACTTTTTCAGAAAAGTTCAATAAACCAAAAAGCTAAAAATATAAATTACAACTTTGATATAATAAGATACTTACTGTTATTGAAATATGTTGAATTTACAAAGTTCCCAAATCTTATCTCTAGTTTTCATTTTAAGACCAAATATGCATATTTCTTTTTTTAATAATATTTTTTTAGTTGTCAATGAACTTTATTTATTTATATGCAATGCTGAAAATTGAACCCAGTGCCTCATTCATGCTCTACCACTGAGCCACAACATCAGTCCAAAATATGCACATTTCTGCATCAGCTGTATGTCCAGATGAGTGAAATAAGCATAAATTGAACAAGCAGGTTTTTTTTTTTCCCAAGTGAGACCAATTGAAGACTTGAGGAGAATACATATGATACAGTTGATTACATTTTGAATAAAAACCTAACACTTAAATGAGGGACATTAACAATAAGAAAAAACTGTTTGAAGAAAAAATGATCTAAATATTAACTACCTTCAGCCTGGAAATGGTCTTTATTTTTATTTGTTAATTTATTTTTTTTGTAGAAGTACTTTTATTTATTTTAACAAATAGAAATTGATCTGTGGATAAGCAGTTCCAATCATATTACTGGTGGAATCAACACACTTCTCCACCAAAATCAGAAAGCAGCTAGGTCACTCTTCCTACCCGCATCTGTCACCATCTAGCCGACTTATATTTAAAAAAATATTTTATTGATTTTTTTACTCATTCTTTTTAGTTATATATAACATTAGGATTCATTTTGACATAATTATAAAATCATGGACTATAATTTGCTCTAATTCAGTCCCCATACTTTCCCTTTCCATTCCCTCTTCCCTCCCCCTGTTCCCTTCCCTCTACTTTACTGATCTTTTTCCTAGTTACTTATAGTTTTAAAAATAATTTTTAGAGTCTTATGGATATACACAATGGTAAGATTCACGGTGGTATATTCATATATGTACAAAGGAAAGTTAGGTCAGATTCATTCCACTGTCTTTCCCTACCCTCGTCCCTCCCTTCCCTTCATTCTCCTTTGGCTACTCCACTGATCATTCTTTTATTTTATATGTCCCCCTATCTTATTTTGCATTAGTTTCTGCATATCAGAGAAGACATTCAACCTTTGGCTTTTTGAGACTAACTTATTTTACATGAGAGTCACCAGTTCTATTCCTTTACTGGCAAATTACATAAAATCATTCTTCTTTATGGCTGAGTAATACTCTATTGTGTATATCAACCACATTTTCTTTATCCATTTTTTTCTGTTGAAGGTTATCTAGTTTGGCTCCATAGCAGTGTATTGTGCTGCCATAAACATTGATGTGGCTGTGTCACTGTAGTATGCTGATTTTAAAACCTTTGGATATATACTGAGGGGTGGGTATTTGGGTCATATGATGGCTCTATTTTTAGTTTTTTGAGACATCTCCATACTGCTTTCCATAGTGGTTGCTTCAATTTGCAATACCATCAACAATGTATGAGGGTACATTTTCCCCACGTTTCCCAACCTTTATTGTTACTTGTATTCTTGATAATTGCTATTCTGACTGGAGTGAGATGAAATCTCAATGTAGTTTTAATTTTCATTTCCCTAATTGCTAGTGATATTGGATATTTTTTTCATATATTTGTTGGCTGTTCATATTTCTTCATTTGAGAAGTGTCTGTTCAATTCCTTTGCACATCTATTGACTAAGTTATTGTTTTTGTTTGGTTTTTTTTTTGTGTGTGTGTGTGTATGAAGATTTTGAGTTCTTTGTATATCCTGGAAATAATACCTTATTTGAAATGAAGATGGCAATTTTTATCCCATTTTTTACTCTCTCTTTTCATGCTCTTGATTGTTTACTTTGCTGTAAAGAGGCTTTTTAATTTGATGCCATTTCACTTACTGATTTTTTTATTTTATTTCTTGTTCTTTAGAAGTCTTGTTAAGGAACTCAGTTTTTATGCAAACATGTTGGAGTGTTGGGCCTAAATTTTCTTCTAGCATTTGCAGGGTTTATGGTCTAATTGTCAGGTCTTTGATCCACTTTGAGCTGAGTTTTGTGCAGGATGAGAGATAGGAGTTAAATTTCACTACATATGGATTTCCACTTTTCCCAGAACCATTTGATAAAAGGGCTATCTTTTAGCTGGATGCAGTGGGGCACACCTGTAATCCCAGTTGCTTGGGAGGAGGCAGGAGAATCTTGAGTTCAAAGTCAGCCTCAGCAAAAGTGAGGCACTAAGCAACTCAGTGAGACTCTGTGTCTAAATAAAATACAAAATAGGGCTGGGAAAGTGGCTCAGTGGTCAAGTGCCCCTTAGTTCAATCCCTTCTAACAACAACAAAAAAAAAGCTATATTTTCTTCAACATATGTTTTGGGCACCATTGTCTAGTATGAGATAACTGTATTTATGTGGGTATGTGGATTTGTCTCTGTGTCTTCTATTCCATTGGTCTTCATGCCAGTTTTGGTGCCAATACCATGATGGTTTTGTTACTATAGCTCTGAAGCATACTTTGAAGGCTGGTATTGTGATGCTTCCTGCTTTGATTTTCTTGCTGATGGTTGCATTGGCTCTTCTGGGACTCTTATTTTTCCAAATGGATTTCATAACTGATTTTTCTATTTCTTTCTGTGGAGAACATTATTGAAATTTTGATGGGAATTGTATTGAATCAGTATAGCACTTTTGGTAGGATGGCCATTTTGATAATATTAATTCCGCCTATCCAAGAACATGAAAGGTCTTTTCATCTTTTCAGTCTTCTTCAATTTCTTTCTTTAGTGTTCTATAGTTTTCATTGTAGAGATCCTCCATCTCTTTTGTTAGATTGATTCTGAAGTTTTTTATTTTATTTTTTGGAGATTTTTTTGTGAATGGGATAGTTAGCCTAATTTATTTTTCAGCTGATTTATCATTGAATTGAATGTGATTGATTTATGAGTGTTGATCTTCTCTCCTGCTATTTTGCTGAATTCATACATGAGCTCTAGAGACGTCTGGTTGAGTTTTTTGTGTCTTCTAAATATAAGATTATGTCATCAGCAAATAGAGATTATTTGAGATTTTTTCCTATTCATATCTGTTTAATTTCATTAACTTGCCTGATTGCTCTCCTTAGAGTTTCAAGGACTATTTTGACAGGAGTGAAAAGTTTTTTTTTTCCACTGAGAATGATGTTGGCTTTGGATATGTCATTTGCTTTTACAATATTGAGGTAATTTCCTTCTATCCCTAGATTTTCTGGTGTTCTAAACATGTTTTAAACATGATGTTTCATGCTGTATTTGTCAAATGCTTTTTCTGTATCTATTAAGATAATCATGTAATTCAGCCTTAAGTATATTTATGTGATGAATCACATTTATTGATTTCTATGTATTGAAACAACCTTACATCCCTGGGATAAAACCCAGTTGATCATGGTTCAATATCTTTTAAATGTGTTTTTGCATGTGGTTTTCCAATATTTTATTAAGAATTTTTGCATCTATTTTCATCAAGGATATTGATCATAAATTTTATTTCCTTGATATGTCTTGTCGGATTTTAGTATCAGGGTGATACTGGCTTCATAGAATGAGTTTGGTTATGTTACCCTCTTTTATATTTTATGAGTAATTTGAGGAGGATTGACATTAGTTCTCCTTTAAATGTCTGGTAGAACTTGATTGAGAATTCATCTGGTACTTGGATTTTCTTTGTTGGGAGGCTTTTGAAAGCTGCTTCATTTTCATTACTTGATATTGATTTGTTTAAATTTTCTATACCTTTCTGGTTCTATGGTAGGTCATATGTCTCTAGGAATTTGTCAAGATTTTCAAGATTTTCTTGTTTATTTAAGTATTAATTTTCAAAATAGTTTCATGATCCCTTGGATTTCAGTAGTGTATGTGGTGGTATTTCCTTTTTCATCTCAGGTTTTGATTGAATTTTCTCCCCTCTTTCTTTTGTTTACTTTGTATAAGGTTTTATCAATTTTTTTCCAACTCTTTGTTCCATTGATCTTTTGTGTTATTTTTTAAATCTCAAGTTCATTAAATTTAGCTCTGTTTTTATTATTTTTTTCTGTTGATTTTGGTATTAAGTTGTTCTTCTTTATTTAGAGACTTAAGGTGTAATGTTAGATTATTTATTTGGTATCCTATTCTTTTAATATATAAGCTCAATATTATAAACCTTCCTCTTCAATCTGCCTTTATACTGATCAAGATTTTGGTATGTTGTATCACTATTCTTAATTTCTATGAATTTTTTAAAATTCTCAATGATTTCTTCTGCTATCCATGCATCACTTAAAAGTGTATTATTTACTCTCCTGCCGCCATGGCTGACAAGGAAGCAGCCTTTGACCACACAGTGGAAGAACGTGTGATCAATGAGGAGTACAAAATATGGAAAAAGAACACCCCTTTTCTTTACGATTTGTTGATGACCCATGCTCTGGAGTGGTCCAGCCTAACAGCACAGTGGCTTCCAGATGTAACCAGACCAGAAGGAAAAGATTTCAGCATTCATCCACTTGTCCTGGGGACATCCACATCAGATGAGCAAAACCACCTTGTGATAGCCAGTGTACAGCTCCCTAATGATGATGCTCAATTTGATGTATCACACTACGACAGTGAGAAAGGAGAATTAGGAGGTTTTGGCTCAGTTAGTGGGAAAATTGAAATAGAAATCAAGATCAACCAGGAAGGAGAAGTAAATAGGGCTCATTATATGCCCCAGAACCCTTGCATCATTGCAACAAAGACTCCATCCAGTGATGTTCTTGTTTTTGACTATACAAAACATCCTTCTAAACCAGACCCTTCTGGAGAGTGCAACCCAGATTTGCGTCTCCGTGGACATCAGAAGGAAGGGTATGGGCTTTCTTGGAACCCAAATCTCAGTGGGCACTTACTTAGTGCTTTAGATGACCATGCCATCTGCCTATGGGATATCAGTGTCATCCCAAAGGAAGGAAAAGTGGTTGATGCGAAGACCATCTTTACAGGGCACACAGCAGAAGTAGAAGATGTTTCCTGGCATCTGCTCCATGAGTCCCTGTTTGGGTCAGTTGCTGATGATCAGAAACTTATGATTTGGAATATTCGTTCAAACAATACTTCCAAACCAAGCCACTCAGTAGATGCTCACACTGCTGAAGTGAACTGCCTCTCTTTCAATCCTTATAGTGAGTTCATACTTGCCACAGGATCAGCTGATAAGACTGTTGCCTTGTGGGATCTGAGAAATCTGAAACTTAAGTTGCATTCCTTTGAATCACATAAGGATGAAATATTTCAGGTTCAATGGTCACCTCACAATGAGACTATTCTGGCTTCTAGTGGTACTGATTGTAGACTGCATGTCTGGGATTTAAGTAAAATTGGAGAAGAACAATCCCCAGAAGATGCAGAAGATGGCCCACCAGAAGTATTGTTTATTCATGGTGGTCACACTGCCAAGATATCTGATTTCTCCTGGAATCCCAATGAACCTTGGGTGATTTGTTCTGTATCAGAAGACAATATCATGCAAGTGTGGAAGATGGCAGAGAACATCTATAATGATGAAGATCCTGAAGGAAGTGTGGATCCTGAAGGACAAGGATCCTAGATGTGTCTGCACTTGTGATTTTAGACTCCCCTTTTTCCCCCTCTCAACCCTGATTGATTTAACATTGGTTTTGAGACACAGACTTTGTTCAGCTATCCCTCTATATAAGTACCACCAACAATTGCTATTAGCCCAATAGAGGGTGTTTTCTAAATATCAACTGGGATACTTTATTCAGCAAAGCCAGACTTATTTAAATTTTCTTCAAGAATTTTCTAGTAACAAACCCGGGTCTAAAGTAGCTACAGAAAGGGGAATATTATGTGTGGTTATTTTTCTTCTTATGCTATATCCCCAAGTTTTTTGGACTCATTTAAGTAAAAGCTAGAGTGAGTAAGGAATAGAGCCAAGGGAGGTAGGTGTCTGAGCCATGAAGTATAAATACCGCAAAATGTCATTTTTATTCAGGAATTAGGGGAGATTCAAGTCATATAGATTCCTACTCTAAAATCTTCACACCTGACTTTCCAGGATGCACATTTTCCTATGTAGACCAGTCTCCTCTTGATTTCTACAGTTAAGTCAAAACTACATGTTCCTCCTTTCCCATATATTTTTGCAAGTGTATTTCTTGAGCTGTTTTCATATTATTCCTTACCTTTATGTGATTTTTTTTTTAAGTTGGGACCACCAAGTTGTAAAGATGTATGTTTTTACCTGACAGTTGTATCATGGGTATACTGTCAAGTTGAGAAGAGTAAATTGATAGCTTGTATGTTTTTAAAATTAAATTAATCCTTGATAAGAGGGTTTTTTTTTTTTAAGGAGTTGGTCCTTGACCACTAGTTTGATACCATCTGCATTTTGGGTGACCTGTTTTACCAGCAGGCCTATTACTCCCATGACTAACTGTGTAAGTGCTTATAATAAAATAAATTGCTTTTCTACATAGCCCTAAAAAGTGTATTATTTAATATCCATGTATTAGAGTGCTTTTTTAAATTTTATCTTTGATTTCTAATCTTATTTCATTATGATGTGATAGAATGCAAGGTATTATCTCTCTTTTTTTTTTTGTATTTACTAAAATTTGCTTTATGTCCTAAAATATGGTCTATTTTAGATAAATGCTCTGTGTGTTGCTGGGAAAAAAGTGAATCCAGTCACTGATGAATGAACTATTCTATAGATGTCTTTTAGGTCCATGTTATTAATTTTTTTATGACTATAGAATCTTTACTTGGTTTATATTTGAATGATCAATCCAGTGGGTCTGTGTCATTGGATATTTAGGCAGCTTCTCTGTGGTTCAGCCCCATGATCCTATAGACTGTCTCTAGTTTTCTCGTGGGGTCTTCCCCCAATGTCCATGGTCAGGACCTGGTGAATCGCTTTCCTATTTGGGGCCAAAGCTGCTTGTGTTTCTGTTTGAGTCAAGTCAGCAGATACTATACAGAGCTTTCTGCCCTTGCCTGGGTCACAGAGGCTGCCAGGGTTAGGTGCACATTCTGGTACAGGTCCACACTAGCATTCTATTCCCCTTGTTTACAGTAATGGGGAGGAAAGGGGGTTTTAGCATTTTCAGCTAGTAATGATTCTTCTAGAAATTCTTTCTGGTCAGATTTTTGAGGTCTAACTGCCCTTCTAGTTTAATTTGCAGTTGTCTGAGTGTGGGAAGACTTTCTGCTGATTTATGGGGGTCCACTGGGTTGGCGGGGGGGCTCCACAGATGGCTGTGGACCTCTGGCTCGGTTTTCTTTCATTGATTTGATTTTAAGCTGTTTGCTCTATTTTAAAGACCCTGCTATTACTGTCACATTTTAAATTTTATCTTCCTTTCCAAATCTTGTAGTAGGTGAATTTTAGAGAATTTCTGCTCCACCTCCACTCTTTTTCTGTTGCCCCTTCTTCCTTCTAGCACTTAGGTTCAGGTTTGGTATTAGGGGACACTGAGTTTATTTTCTATTCTTGTAGCCTGTCTTCTAGTCTTTTCAGGCCTCAGACTTTGTATTATTGAGTCTTAGAGAATTTATTTTGTCACCAGCTTCCCAAATGTGCTTTTCTTTTGCTGCCTCCTTTCTTTGTTGTGAGGAGGATGGGACTTACTTCATACCTCACTTTTTCCATCTTCTACATATCTTCTTCTAGAAATGGTTCTCATTAATTACTGCTTAACTAAATCAAACGCCGATGTCACTTCAGTATGATACAAATTCAGGTTGAAGTTGTTCCTGTTAAAAAAGTGGCTTAGTGTTAGGATTTAGGATTTCTGCATGCCTGATTGTGCTGGGTCCTGCTGGTCAAGGTCACTTTTAGAAGAGTGGTTGGTAAATGTTTTCTGTGAAGGACCAGCTAATAAACATTTTTGGTTTTATTTTTGGTTTCAATTCTTTTTCATTTATTCAACTCTGTCATTGTAGTATGAAAGCAGACAAAGAAAATAAAGGAATGGGGATGGCTATGTTCTAATAAAACTTGGTACAAAACAAAAATAGGCCAGTAGGCCATCATTTATTCACCCCTGTTTTAGCATTTAATTAGCTTGGGAATAATAGTTTCCTTCCTGATATAAATTGCTCTTGGCTAGGATCTTAGATAGGTCTGTCAGGAGGATGGTTGATTTCCTTTGCATATGGGTCAGGAAGGTAGTCTCATGATTGTCTTTATCCAGTTAGAAATGTTAACATTATTTATTTTACAAAAACAAACAATTATTTTTGTTTAAGAAGGATAAGGGGTTCTTTTATGTCATGGTTTTAATATTAGAACTTTTGTTACTCTGATTTTCATTTCAGGTTCTTAATGAATTAAAAATCTTCAGCTATTATTATTTCTTTTAATCGGAATGTTTGCATTTGTATTTGTTCATCTGATCTTTAACAATTGGCTTATTCTTGGGTTGTCAGCTTTAGCAAACAAAAATGCAGGATTCCAAGTTAAATTCAACTTAAATGGGCATTTTATGTGGCATTCTTAGTTTATCCTTCATCCTGACACTTTCAGAGCATAATCAGAAAGTAAGTTGTAACTTACTGTTTCAGAGGTTATAGCACCATCATTAAGGTTTGTTCTATAGATGCTTTCATCAGCTTGCATGTATTTTGCTAAAGTATTTCTTTCCATAATATTTTAGACTACTATTACTAAAGCAAATTATACATGGTACCTACCTTCAAAATGTTAGCATTTATTCTTTTTTCATGTATCCTAGTTTTCCTAACTATCCAGATAACTAACAACTCTGTTTATGTGAACCAATGTACTACATCTTCTATTTACCAATCACTCCTTTCTTTTCCTGGTAGTTTAGTTTTTCTTATAAGCCAATGGTTTGCATCTTACACCTCTAGCACCTAGTCAAAAGTAAAATACATATATTTTAAAGTTTTTATTAATATTTTAAATTTTATCAAAATAAAATAGTACATATTTATTTAAAAAGTAAAATAGTGTTAGTAGGCTAATATTTTAAAATAGCAATCACCTGCCCCATCCTTTAAACAAAGGTATCTGTAGCTTGAAGTAATCATGTCCACATCTTTGTAGTTGATTGATTCTATTAATACTACTATTTCTTGATTTTTCAGTTTATATATTATTTTCTGGTGTCCTGTTCCTCTTATTATTTTTCAACATAACTATATTACAATTTTTGCTTATTTCAGAATTAAATATTTATATTTTATAACATGGCCATTATTCATATGTGACTCAAAGAATGTTTTATGATTACAATTCATTTTTATTCAAAATTTTGCCTAATATTGACATTTTCTTTTGTTTTCTATATACCTATTGTTAATTAATTTCTACTCAAAGAGAACTTTTCCAAGTTTCTTTGAACACATTATATTTTACTAGCTTTATTTTAATGTTAGGGGCCTTCTTGTCTTTTTATTTAGAATGAGAATTGTGCTTTCCATATCTGTCACTTGGATTCATCCTATAAATTTTTTTGACCATCAGCCTGGAAATTCCTTGTGCCTCTATGATCTATTCTTTGTTTCTTGGCTTATTTTTGTTTTATTCCAAAATTTTAGTTTGGGAAAGTTATATATGAGATTCCTATGAGACATCTACATCTATAGTAATAGGTACAAGAAATAGCTATAATAGGAGTTCAATAGTGATGTCTTTCCTCTAGGTAAACATTTATTAATCATTATTATGTAGCTTATCTAGATAGTAGAGGTCATAAGTGTACATGTGATCACTCAGGATAAGTGTGTAGAATAGAAGAGAAATTGGGAACCAAGGTTCGATAGCGAAATGAATACTGATGGTTAAGGAACTGGAAGTAGAAAAGGATTTGGTAAATTAGGTTGAGATTATGCAGTGAGGATTAAAAATGGAAAATTGAAAAATTACAAGCCAATAAAAGCCAAAAGTAGAATGTGGCCATCTGTATGAGGGAATTATTACATGATAGAAGAAGAGAAGGATGTAAGTTCATTAACATGACATAAGTTATCACTGAACATGATCAAAGTATTTTTGGTGGAATTCTAAGGTATAATTTTAGTGGTTGGTAATCACAAAATAAGGAAGGATCAGGATTATGAAGTTATGGTTTAGATGTGGTATCCCCCAAAGCTCACATGTGACAATATAGGAAGGTTTGGAGGAGAAATGATTGGCTTATATTATATATAGGCTTCAACCTAATAAATGGATTAGTCCCTGATGAGATTAACTGAGTGGTAACGAGGCAGGTGATATGTGGCTGGAGGAGGTGGTTCATTTGGGGTGTGGCTGTGGGAGTATATATTTTGTATCCAGAGAGTGGAGTCTTTCTCTCTGTGTTTTCTGATCATCATGTAAGCTGCTTCTCTTTAGCCACACTCTTCCACTATGATGTCCTATCTTACTTTGAGCCCTGAGGAATGGAGCCTTCTCTCTATGGATTGAGAACTCTGAAACTGTGAGCCATTAAATAAACTTTTTCTCCTCTATAGTTGTTCCAGTCAGGAACAACTTTTGTCACAGTAATGAAAAAGCCCACTTGACTAAAACATATGGTTAAATGCTCATGAGAAAAAATTAGAAAAGAAGTTTGGAAATACAGGAAGAATAGATAAAATCAAGAGAGTTAAATAGAAGACAAACA